AACTTCTTTAGAGAAGTGTCATTGCTTGCTGGAGGCTCCTCTTCTGGGACCGCACGGAAGCTCTGCTTGAGTGTCCTAGTGCCACTTGACACTTTATATCACTGTGAAAAGTTTGGGACTCACCACCGCAGCGCCTCCTGCTGGTTGTCTCCAGGAATTAGTTCAGTCCAGTGGCAGGCCCTCTCCTGGTGGTGTCCCGCTTGCTGTTGGTCCCCCGTGTCCCTCTCAGGACCCCAGTGCCCTTATCTCAGGGTTCTGCCTCCTGCAGTACCCCACAGTCTTACTGGGTTTCCCCACCCCAGGGGAACCCCCCTATTCACACATTGCCTCAGTCATGGCTACTACCAGTCTCTGTTTAGCCCCCGCACCCTGGGGCGGACTGCAGTCTATCAGCCGATCATCACAGGCAACAAGGGGTTTGGACTGGCTGTCTTTCCCACCCTCCGGCTGCCCCTCTGCAAGCCCAATACCTAGGAGGCCTAGAACTAGGCCCTGCAGCCTGGGGAGTTGCTGGCCTAGGGCTTCCCAGCTCCTAAGGTCTTTCCCCAGCCCTGCCTCCTTCTGGATTCCTTGGGTGGGTTCCCCAGCAGCCAGGCCTGTCTCCCTCTCCAGTCTCTGGCTTCCCTGGCCTTCCTATAAGGCCCAGTTGCTTAGTTTGGGGCGTGGCCCCAGCTGCAGCCACTTCCCCCAATCAGCTGGGGTTTTACTCCCTTGCCCAGCCCCAGCCCCCTGCAGGGCTTTTCCAACCCCTTCCGGGCTGGAGCAAGTGTTCACTCCGCTACAATCACCAAAAAGGGAGAGGTGAGCAGTGGAGGCAAGGAAGATGCTGAAGTCAAAGTGATGAGGTTTGAGGAGAGGCAAGTTGGTAGAGTGGTGGTAAAAGCCTTATTAAAAGCTGAAGGATCAGCTCCTCAGTTGGTGTCAGTGTGCACTGCTCCTATTCACACCAGCTGAAGACCAGGAGTGAGGTTTGCAGGGTGGCCTTCTGGCAGACAAGTGCTATACTGAATGTGCACACCTTTAAAAATGTCAGGAAGACAAAGTACACTTGATGGTGTTAGTATTTGTGTTATTATTTATAATAATTAACACGTTTTTATCTGTCATCTTCTTCTGCTCCCTTTTGAAACATCATCAGTTCAGCAGTGACTCATACCGCACTGAAGTATATAGACCAGTGTTTTCAAACATGGGTACATAAAGTTAAGCATTTAAATCCATATTTAGGCACCGGAATACATGGCCTGACTTGAAGGGATTCTGAACATCCACAGCCCCCACGACTGGCTTCAATAGCAGCAGGATCAAGCCCTAGACTATTTGAAATGTGCTCTTTTCCGTGCAGAAAAGGTTGAGGTCGTTATTGTTTCCTTTAACTTTGCCTGCCTTTGTTAGGAAAGCAGATTTGTGTTTTTCTTCTCATAGTGCCAGTGGGATAATAGCTAACTTTATCCCATGGTCTGTCCCATGAAATACAATATGTATCATACCTCCTCCCTGGGGGCCTAACTCTGAACCCCACATCAGAAACAGTAGCCAAAGGGATTTGCTTCAAGGTCAAACCTTGTCACGGGGTGTGTTATGGAATCCTCCGTCCTGACCTGCAGTCGCTGCCATGCAACAAGAACACAGGCACTTCTGAGGGGATAGGAAGGAGTAAAGGGAATGGCCAGTCTTTCAGCCCAGGGAATCTGCTTTGTGCACTGGCCCGCTGGCAATACCTCCAGCAAGCTCAGTGCTTCACTTCTGTAGTTCCCTGTGGAGAATAGTTCTCCACCCGTGAATGTGCTGGAGTGGGTGGCATCCTCCTGAACATGTTTTCGGTGGCTTGGGCTAGCTGTGCAACCGGAAAGCTGTCTCTCCGCTGCTTTTGGTCCCAAACTATTAGCATAAGTAGATTCTGGATGAGCGCCCTGAGATTAAATCAGTGATAAATGTGGACTCTATTTACCTCGTTTTATGAATATTTTTTCCTAACCCAAGAAATGGATCCCTATACTTAGATACTGTGCTGCTTAGTGTACTAGGCTAGCGTCTGGGTGCATTTTAAAGGCCATATCATTGAGTAAAATTCAGTGTAAAATGCAGCTTTGTAAGTATAAGCTTATATGACAGAAACTTTTTTGTTTTGTTTTGTTTATACACTGCCTAGCTCAAGGGAGCTTAATCCGTTCTGAGCATCTGAGAGGTTTTCTAAATGCTGCTTTCATTGCAAATAATATCAAAAATAATAAAAACAGCATGCTTTTTTATTTCCAGTGGAAATAGGTTTCCTTTAGCAATCCAAACATTGTAGCATCATGCTTTATTGCATGACAACGTGAAAGAAAAATTGACTAACCTCTTTTCAGTTTTCAAGCTCAGAGACATGCAAAAAGTGACAGGAAAATTATATTTTAATATAATTCTTGGTAATTATTAGTAATGTAGATAAAGAAATTTGATTTATAAAAATGTTTTATTTCGTTTTATACTGTCTGGTTACAGTTAGGTCAGGAATCTACTGAAAACATATTAGTTCAGCTATTACATTGTCACATGACAACTTTCTGCATAAAATCTTTTGTATTTGAATTAAATATTTTGGTTAAGTTAAATACACAGCGAGATTATAATGTTTTATATAAAAACAGATATACTGTAGTGTTTTGGTCTATAGATGTCACTATTGAGTCATATAATGGAACACTGACATAATCTTGTTCACTCATGCAGTGATTCCTTTCCAAGCTATTTGTAAGTAAATGGTTTTCCGGGTAACAAGAAATCTTCCTAATAGGCTGGCATCATATAATGCATATGGCATTGTCAGTTTCGCATCTCGTTAGGCCACTCTGTGTGTTTGTCCAAATCTCTGAATGTAGTTCAGAATGTCTGAACTGGAAAAAAAAAAAAAAAAAAAAACCACCAACCACCTCCTCTTGCAGATACAGTACTGACACTGGAACACAGAAAATATGTGGTTTTGTGATACTTACAGTTGTCTAATAGGCCCAGTGACAGCATCCACAACACTAACTTTGTTACAGGTTATTAATTTTAAGCAATGTTCACTAATGGTACTCATCGTTACAAATATGAGTGTGCAAGGAAACTGGAAGTTCTAGGAACTGTTGGGTTCTATTTCTAACTGCAGCTGACCTTCAGTATGAGACTAAGCAGGAAACTTGGGGCCAACAGTACGATCTCGAATCCAGGCTGTTCCGTCAATTTCAATGGAGTAAATCCTGATTTACACCAGGGTGTGATTAATCAGGTTCTTAACCGTATGCTGCTCCAGGTTAGCTAGCAGTATGGATGTCATACTGCTTTCCCACCTCACTCGAGCGTTGGGTAGGTCAGTTACGGTTTGTAAAGCACACAGTCTCTTAGATGATAGAAATGTGAAGTATCGTTTTCATGTCTATTCTTAATTTAGTGTCATGTGATTTTCTGTTCTAGTGATGAGATCAGTAAATTCTGATGTACCATCCTTGTAAATGTCTGAATTGGAAATATTTTCTAAGGGTCTAGAGTGGCTTAGACGCATTTATTTGCCCAGGGGTGGGCAAACATTTGTCCCGAGGGCCACATCTGGGAATAGAAATTGTATGGTGCGGGAGGGGATGAGGGCTCTGGGGTGGGGATGGGTATGAGGAGTTTGTGGTATAGGAGGGTGCTCCGGGCTGAGACCAAGGGGTTCAAAGGGCAGGAGGGGGATCAGGGCGGGGGCAGGGGGTTGGGGTGTGGGAAGGGGTGCAGGCTCTGGCCGGGGGTGCAAGCTCTGGGGTTGGGCTGGGGATGAGGGGTTAAGAGTGCAGGAGGGTGCTCCAGACTGGGATCGAGGGTTCAGAGGGCGGGAGGGGGATCAGGGCTGGGGCAGGGGGTTGGGGTGTGGGAAGGGATGAGGGCTCTGGTTGGGGGTGCAGGCTCTGGGGTGGGGTTGGGGGTAAAGAGTTTGGGGTGCAGGAGGGTGCTCCGGGCTGGGATCAAGGGTTCAGAGGGTGGGAGGGGGATCGGGGCTGGGGCAGGGGTTTGGGGTGCGGGAAGGGGTGCAGGCTCCGGCTGGGGGTGCAGGCTCTGGGGTGAGGCTGGGGATGAGGGGTTTAGGGTGCAGGAGAGGGTGCTCTGGGCTGGGATCAAGGGTTCAGAGGGCGGGAGGGGGATCAAGGGTGCAGGCTCCGGGTGGCGCTTACCTCAAACGGCTCCCAGAAGCAGCGGCATGTCCCCACTCCAGCACCTAAGCGGAGCCACAGCCAAGCGGCTCTGGGCGCTGCCCCATCCACTGGTGCCACCCCTGCAGCTCCCATTGGCTGCAGTTCCCAACCAATGGGAGCTGCGGGGGCGTCGCTTGGGGCGGGGGCAGCGTGCAGAGCGGAGCCCCCTGGCTGTCCCTACACGTAGGAGCTGGAGCGGGGCCATGCTGCTGCTTCCGGGAACCATGTGGAGCGGCCCCCGGCCCTGCTCTCCAGCTGGAGCGCCGGAGCAGGGCAAGCCCCAGACCCTATCCCCAGCGGGTGCTCGAGGGCTGGATTAAAAAGGCTGGCAGGCCGGATGTGGCCTGCAGGCCATAGTTTGCTCACCCCCGGTTTAGACGCATTTATTTATTCTGCACGGAAGCCCTGAGGCTTTCTCAAAGGACAGTTGCTGATATCAGAAAGTGATGGAAAACTTACTGACTGTAACTGCTTCTTTGGTGGTGTCATCTGTTGCGATTGAACCCAGGACTCTAGATGTAAAAACATTTGGCTGTACTCCTGGAGCCAAAAGATCAACTCCAGTAGGGCACAGGCATTTGCAGATGTATAAGCTTCTTATAAGGTCTGGCCACCAGCAGGGGACAAACTCTCACATTGCTATTAATGTGGGTCACAGTTGCGTGTCAGAATTCCTGTATGACACCCCACCCCAAGTGACTCTGTTTCAATTTACCCGACAGCTACCAATGTAACCAGATTGTATCGTGTGTTGACAGTTGTATTTATAGGCTCCTGTTGTTGCTTTTGTTTTTATTTTCCCAGGTTATCAGTGTAGTTGCCTCTCTCAATTCACAGGAAGAAATTGTGAATCGGAGATCACAGTGTGCTTTCCAAATCCATGTCGGAATGGAGGGTCGTGTGACCCGATAGGCAATGCCTTCATCTGCAATTGCAAAAATGGACTGACAGGAGTAACGTAAGTGAACTACCAGTGGGGAATTGTCATCTTTGAATGATTTTAATACGAGGTCTTTTTTGCATAGGGCATCTTGTACCCCAAAGCCTCTAGTTACCTAACAAAGTGTAGCCAAATCACGTGGCTTACCAAGAGGCCATATTAACATGATCCAAGAAATCCATGAAGCCAAAGTTTTCCAAAGTGGGTATTTAAACTTAGCTTCCGAAGTTGTCGTTTAGCTCTGGGATTTCAGTGGAATTTGGGCACCTAACTCCCATAGGCTCCTTTGAAAGTCCCCATCACCCACTCCTTTCCCATATTAGTACAGTTTTGATATCTCCTTTTCCCCCTATTTGTTCTCTTTCATTTCCATTCCCTTTCTCTTTCCAAAGCACCTAAAATCCTATAGAATTTAATAGCCAATGCTAACCTTTTGTTAGGTTATTTGAACTATTCTGTGGAATTGTACAGCAGGGATATCAATTTGTATCGAATCTCATGGAATGGTCCAAAACACCTACGGAAAAGTTTGCATTTTTATTACAGTCTGTGAGCCTGATTCATCACTGTATTGGTCCAGTTTTATACCGGTTTCACTCCACTGAAATCAATGGATTTGCACCGGCATAAAACCTGGGAGTAATGCAATGGTGAATCAGTCCTAGGAGCTTTTTCCTGAGGAGTAGCATTAATCAGTTCTTTTCTCCAGTATGTTTTCTTGTCATTGACTTAAAAAGCAGCAGAACTTGTTTCCATCTTTAGAAGATTTTAAATATTGTAATGTGGCTGGATAATAATATGTTCATTTGCCAGACACTGGCAGAGTACAAAACACAATTGCTGCCTGGACATCCTAAATAAATGAGGGTAAGCGGTGTTGATTGCTAAGGTTTCTCCTCCAAAATCTATAGCCATGTCTTGTTCTCTTAAGGTGCGAAGATGATGTCAACGAATGTGAAAGAGAGGAATGTGAAAATGGCGGCTCCTGCATCAACGTTTTTGGCTCGTTTCTATGTAACTGCACTCCTGGATATGTGGGGCAGTATTGTGGCCTCAGGCCTGTGGTGGTCCCCAACATACAAGCCGGACATTCCTACGTCGGCAAAGAAGAGCTAATAGGAATAGCAGTCGTCCTTTTTGTAATCTTTGTGTTGATCATCCTGTTTATAGTTTTCCGCAAGAAAGTGTTCAGGAAAAATTACTCACGCAACAATATCACCCTGGTCCAGGACCCGGCTACTGCTGCTCTGCTCAACAAGAGCAACGGGATCCAGTTCAAGAACCTAAGGAACAGTGGGGACAGTCGCAATATCTACCAAGAGGTAGGGCCACCGCAAGTCCCTGTGAGGCCCATGGCTTACACCCCTTGCTTCCAGAGTGACTCGCGGAACAATTTAGACAAGATAGTGGATGGACTTGGAGTTGAGCATCAGGAGATGACGACGTTTCATCCAGAGTCTCCTCGTATACTAACAGCAAGGCGGGGTGTGGTGGTGTGCAGCGTGGCTCCCAACCTGCCGGCCGTGTCTCCCTGTCGATCTGACTGTGACTCCATCAGGAAGAGTACCTGGGACGGCGGTACTGAAAGTGAGTAACGTCATCTGATGCCGGGTGTTACTTTCCCTTTCTGACACGTGTTATAACAGCTCTTGTCAGAGTACAGCAGTTTTATGAGCTCAAGGGTGCCAGAGTGAACCAGGAGGTGCTGTCTGGTTAACGCTAGGTAAGTTTGACAGGGAACACTTAATGAACCTTATTGAAAGCAGCCCAGATTCATGTACTCACAGTTGTTATATTTCACAGAGAAAGTGATTGTTTCTGACATTCTGAAAGGATGTAATTAGGATGAGACTAGGTATACAAGTGCCCTATTTAGATCATCAAAATATGACGACCCACCTACGTTTTATATTCGTTCAGAACGTTTGAGGAAGACGGCTCTGAGGACTCCGGTCTCATGATGCAGTGCAAGTGTCTTTCTGTTGAAAAGGAAAATTTTAGGCTAAGTTTCCTGACTGTGAGCACCCTTAGCTTGGGCAATCAGTCTTGCAAGGGGTATTTAGAACTAGACAAGACAAAGCACTTAAAAATTTAATGCAGGAAATGAATTACTAAGTACTTTTTATCTCTAATATTTATGCTGCTCTTTGGAAGCGTGTAAGCTGCTCTTATAACCACATTTTCAATCTATTCCTTTCTCACCTGCGCTAAATGTTAAAACCTCGTACAATCTGTTATCTTCATATTTAAACCATTTGTGCTCCCAGTGCTTCTCTTCCCTTTTCACTGATAGCAAAGCACATCTTCAATTTCTGTACAGTCTATCCACACATGGGACATGATGCAGGTTATCACATCAGGAAATAGCCGTTCCCAAGGGCCATATATTAGGCTGTGTGTCCCTCTGCCCTTATCACAAGGCAGTGCTTGATAAGACGCTTTGTATTAGGGCACAGGTCCTCAA